CCCAAAAAGACCTTGCGCACGTAACGCACTTGTAACACCTCTGGTCTTTCGGGTGCCTATGGGCAGCGTCGATTGCTTACCATCAGGTGATCGGATAACTCATTTGCCGGCTTATTCCATAAAAAAATCGACTCACTATTGCATTTAAAATCAAGTCCAGATTTATTTCAATAATAAATTGTCCGTTTTATTGACCACGGCATCACAGTCTATATGACTAATGAAGTGGTTTCCATCACAAATGACGACAAAGGCTATGTCCCTAGTGTTCTCCAGTATTTTTATCAGCCCGTATGAAATCCACACGTTTTGAAAGCCAACGAACAATCGTTCCAGTAAATAAAAGGATCGCCATCACCCTTCCATATCTCCATTCCACCCGTGTGGGCTTGCCAACGATTTTCACTAAATGTTTTCTGTATGTGTGAAACGAATTTTCGATGATTCAATCTGAATTTAAATAAATAATCCAATTACGTACGTATCAATTGTTCTCATTTATTTGTTTTTAGGTTTTATTCATTTTAATTTACGTGTTTATGATGAATTGTTTGACGTATTTGAGTTTATTTTAATAACCATGCATGAGTGTATAATCATGTCTCTAACTATTAGACAGGACTCTAAAGTACAATAGAAGTAGCTATAGTATAGAATAGACAGAAGAGGCTACAAAAATATATGTGCCCTCTCATTTCAGAGATACCTTATATTTTAAATTATATTTTTATTGTATAGAGAACGCTTAAGTCTAGTATAAAAATCTAGTTATAGTCTCAGCTGTTCAGACTGTCTGTTGTCTGTCAGTAAAATAATTCAAGGTCTCCTTTTATGAAATAGTCAATCATTTTACCTTTATCTAGAAAAGAAGTATCTATATAATAGCGAAATTTAATTTTATCCTAAAATCTTGAGTAAACGTTTAATAATTTATTTTGCTGTTACTTTGGAAGTGAATAATTTATAATCTACTTTATACAATTTTATCTAGACATTCCAATTATTAAGATAAAAGCCTTTTTAATGTTTAATCTTTACGATCTTAATTGCTCGAAGTTTCCAGAAAAAGGCTACAGTATTCTGGTTTTAGAAACGTAAATTCCAATTTAGTTTAGTGGAGTAATAACATTAATGTTCGTTGTTTATAACACTTGCTTGCTGGGCCTAAATTAACGACGACATAATACATATGCATAATTATGTAAATATTATAGCTTTATTTAAGGGTCCGCTACTTGTATTAAAACGGCATTAAATTAGGAGTTTCAGTACAAAACATAAACTTGATTAGCATGCGTGGCGTACTCGGCTTAGGGGTAATTGCTATATCCTTGCGCCGTGTAATGCGATCTCAGCCGTCTTTAATCTCACCCACTTGACTATCTCCGTAATAACACTTCGCACATTTACACAATATGTTTGTCATTACTTATTTTCACACACAATTATTTGCAAATCATTTAACCCATATTAAAATACACCGTTCGTCCTTCCTCTCTGTTATTGAAATATAAATATTTTGCTATCAAATAGAACGAAATGTCCCTGAAAGAATTTACTAGAAATTCTAAATGTTACATATCGACCATATTGTTCGTAGAATCTTGTATTTCGAAATCCTCGATACTTTTTTGAAATACTACAATTTGATTCCGAGAAGTATAGATAGGTTTTCGATTGATTTTAATTGTTGAACTTTATATCAATGGCTTTTAGGAATTGTTTAAAAGACAGTTTTTTAATATAAAATTAGATGTAAATCTGACAGGGTGCTCTTATAAAATAATATTAGATTTCTAACTACCCAGGTAATAAATCAGTGTTCTAAAAGAAAAAGAATTAGATTTTTCAAACGAAAGCACAGAATGACTGCGCAGTAAATGCTCTAAACCTGAAAATAAGTGCTAAAAGAATAAGACGAAATAATTTTAAAAGTACATTTGCACATAACAGTAATTTACCAATTCAACAACACTTTCCTAAGATGGATACGGGCTCAGGTTCACATATTTTAGTCCTACTAACCCCAAGTTCTATAAATCGAGCCAGAGTGCGCTAGAGAAATAAAAGTACTATCTTTGTGCAATACGTTTTCCAACATACTATGTATGTACTATGTTCACACGAGCGTAGCACTTTAGCCATCAGATTTAACGCAAACACTCTCGCTATAAAGTTAGCAAAGAAAAGCTGCACCACTTTATGATGTCTATCAAATCTATTTGTTGTGATACTCTGAGTGAGATCTGCTATTTGAGATTGTGTAATGTGATATTGATCTGTTTTTAAGTAAATTTAAATATCTAATTAGTCGCTGATTGATAACAGTTTTACTAGTCGTAATGATTGCTAATTGCTAATCGCTTCCCATCAGGCGATCCAGCTGCTAGATTGCTCGTTATTCCACAAAATGCTAGTATTTCCTAGTAGATTCTAGTAATAGGAGCGCAAAGGATACATTACCGTGTTTAGACTTAGGTAATAAAAAATAATTGTAAAGTGAACAAAAAGTTATTTGATTTCTAGCTACATACTCCTTAAAAAAAAACAAAATAAAGTCGATTAATAAACGGTACGGTAAACAGTTGTGCTAACGTAAAAATGTTATCTAAATATTATTTTATTTCAACTCACCCAACTGTTACTGTAGAATCAAATATTTTTACCGATTGTAAAGTACCTACGCGAGAAAGACGCCGTCAAATATGCTCGAACGAATTTTTCTCGTGTGCAAAATTCTTTTTAAGATTCTTATCTTACGCGTTGTATGGAATTGTTATTATGAGGTATGAATGGGTGTATAATTTCCGTTGCAAATCAAATGACGGATCGGTATTTTTTGATACGTTGATGACGTCATCTACCATACATTGGAAGAATAGATAGATACACGTCAAGTTATACCTACTATGCTATAACTGTAAAATATCTTTAATCAATCCTGAACTTTATTGTTGTATATTTAAGTGCCAAACCAAAATAGAAAAATGAGTCTGTATCCTAATGTGAATTCGAAAAGGAAAGGTAAAGTAAATAAACCTTGGTCCTTACAAATACGATTTCTAGTTTTGGTACAAAGGTCAGATGGGAAAACAGTTTTCCTTATAGCATTTTTCTTGCCCACTTTGGAGGATATCGGGTTACTTAAGTGAGTCGAGCATTATAACCGATGTAGGAAATGGTGCTCATTACCACGCGCGTGAGGCTATCTCCATGCATGATACAGCTAGTATAGCTACCTACATACATGAGTTTGCTTTAACAATATTGAGTGTTTGTAGTGATTAAAGTAATTTATGGAAAAGCTTTCCCCATTATCAGTCCACGACTTACTAAAGCTATAATATTATTTACGTAAAAATTATATTAATGCACTCATTTAGCAATAGAACTAGTTACTCAAACTGGTTATTGAATTTCAAAAGTATGTCGATTTTCGATTATCCTATTCATAGTATGACTAAACTGTCATTTGTACTGAGACATACAAGACAAGCCATGACAAAGGCACTTAAATCAAGTAAAATGTATCATTAATAAATTAAATTCATATGAATCTAAGTGATAAAAACGAGTGCAATAAAATGTCTGTATGTACGCGTATGTAAGTCACATCTAGCAATCCTATTAGTTCTGTGAGCAGCTCTTATCATTTCGTATCAGCGTCTGCAGAGCCACGCTCCTTAAGCGTATGTTACGCTAGTACGTTGCACTATTTTCTCCACACATTATCTTGACTAATAGAACCTAACACATTTTGTTAAATTATGGTCAGTTTAACGATAAACTTTTAATGAACAGCGATCTAGAAGTTAGTAAGGAGGTTATATAAAGACTATTCGGTACTATGACGAGATTATTTTTATTTCTCTTACAAAGATTTTAACTGTGGGAGAGCCATGCTTCGGCACGGATGAGCCGGCTCGACCGGAGTGATACTACGGACTCACAGACGTGAAACAACGCTTGCGTTGTATTTTGTTGTGTGAGTGAGATTACCGGAGGCCCAATTACCCCCCTTCCGCAATCTCCCCAATCCCTGAATCCCAAGAATCCTCAAATTACTAATCCCCAAAAGACCGGTAACGCTCTTGTGGCGCCTCTCGTGTTCCAAGCGTCCATGGGTGATGTCGATTGCTTACTATCAAGTGAACCATCTGCTTGTATATCGGCTTATCCCTAAAAAAAGATGCGACCAAGATTGTCGAATTTAATAACGCAACACTATTTGTATGTAATAGTGAATCGAGTATATACTAACTCTAATCTAATCTTATTAAGTTATCAATTACGAAACGGTAAATGGTTTTATTGTGCACATATACCTCTATGTTGTGGTGGCCCGGAGGTTTAAGACGCCCGCTTCTCATGCACGAGGGTGCGGGTTCGAAACCTACCAACTGCAAGTACCAATGTGACTTTTTCCGAGTTATATGTACTTTCTAAGATTATTTAGACACCATTGATAAACGGTGAAGGAAAACATCGTGAGGAAACCTGGACTTATAATTTCTAATTATAAATTTGAAATCGCCAACCCGCAATGAGCAAGCGTGGTGATTAATGTTCAAACCTTCTCCGTATGAGAAGAGGCTTTGCTCAGCAATGGGCATTTATAGGCTGTTGATGATGATGATGAAATGGTTTTATGAAAAAAAACTAATTTAATAATACCTCATATTCAAAAGATATAAATCTCATGATCTCTCAGTTTAACCTCATTCCAAATAAACGTGACCTAGAATAATAAACTATACACTCTACAGCCCCCATTTTATATAAAAACAAAGCCGGTATTACAGAAACCACATTCTACTGAAAATACGCGGAAATAAGTCCGAAATCCGTATACAGAATCTTCGTAAGTGAGCCCGTATAATCCTTTCAGGAGCTACATATACAGCTATTCTACTATATAACAATATAGTTATACTGTTGAATAATATTGTTATACAATAAGATAATAATATTTTTATATTCATACAATACTGTTTACACAGTCACTGCACGACGGATTATCTGACATTGCGCGCGGGCAGCTCGCCATCTGCATCTCTACTTGGTACTCTCTGCTCCGAGCGCACAGCGACACTCGAGCATCCTGGACCAAATCTCCTGCTGGAATTTAAGTAAGTGTTTATATGCTTTTACAATATGAAGTAGCTTTGAAGTTTAGTTTTTATATGACATTATAACCGATCAGATGTGATCTAAAAAAACTTGCGTCTTATTATAGACGATTTGTAAGACAATTAACAAACAAAAATCGATCGTGACCGCCTTATTTTATTATACCTACACAAATAGAAAACAATAGGGTAGTTATCTAAATTTAATTTTTTGTCCGTCTGGTAGATTAATTTAAAACATTACACACGTATTTCTACTTATCTCATGAAATTAAATACTTTCGACGATAGATAATATATTAATTTAAATTGTCGTATGACGTCACAACGTGCTACACTTTGTGACGTAACAACTTCTCACTCTTAAATTTAACGCCATTTTATCTAAGTATTGTAATTTTATACGAGAAAATAAAAAATACGTGTCTAATATGTTTTCATTATGTAACTGACGGACTAATTACATCATACCCTGGCAACTACCCTATTATACACTATTTGTATTAAACTAGAGATCAAACGATCGGTATCTTTATTTATCTTATTCTATTTTCACTTCAAACAGAATTTTATTGGTACAATTATCAAAAGATGTTTTATTTATAGCTCAAAGAGGGACCTAAGTCCTAATTCGTTTCTCGTTAGAGAGCTTCTACAGCCACGATTGAATTAAACCTTATGTAAGTGGCGAAACACGCGACACTGAGTTATTGAAAGGCATTGAGACACATAAATCTAAGGAGCAAGCACCACTTTGTATGAGCTTGTTCTAAAGTGAATTGAAATGCTTTAGGAATTGAGTTCAATGTTATACTTCTGTTTACTGTTTGTAGAATGAACGTAATGTAATGTTTATATTAAAACTTTCGTGAGACACACTACACATAACATAACATAACGCTTTTTATCCCCGAAGTTGTCTGTTTTATTAATGTTCAATAGTTTTAGATTCATTCATACATTCATATCATAGATACATCATAGATACATTCATAGACTATTAGTTACGAACAAATAATACAAAAAAAACTAAATCTTTACCTACCAACTAACTGTGAAACATTTTAATCGTATGTACATACGTATACCTACGAAGAATTCATTCTACATACGAAAGCGGTTCTCTAACATGACGATACCTGTGTTCAGTTCCGGGCCATTAGTACCGCCGTACGACTACAATGGATTTATAGCCAAGCTGGAGTTTATTGAGAGGATCGACAGCAGTGGAGCCCCGCCCACTGTGGTGCCGGCCTCGCCGCCCTTAGCTGCGCTTACTCATCACATACAGCACGGTAAGTTATAGGTACTATTTGTAAAAAGATATAGATGTTATGTTATCAATTAAAGATGTTATTTTACAATGGTAGTCTCAAGTATGAAGAGAGATCAAGTTCAGAGGTGTCAATAGAATAATGAGTATGGATTGATTATAATGATGATGGTATAAGAAAATTATAATGTTCAGTGTATATTCATGTTTGGTATACCTCTGTGCCACCGAGGTAAGTGAAAACTGTCTTTTTTTTAAACATTGCCCCACACTATGATTATCTCCTGTGTCGTGAGTGCGTCTACAAACATACAAGCTTACATACACATGACACCCAGACCCGAAACAACAATTTGTGGATCACACAAAGTGTTGTTCTGTGCGGAAATCGAACCCGCGACACGTTGCACGGCAGCCGGTTGCCCAGCCACCGCACCAACCGTGCAGACAGTCTTTTCTTCTCATTTATTAATCTTCTGATTTATTTCGTTGCGGAATCCAAGATAGTTATTCATGTCCATGAGACGCGCCGGACTTCAGTGTTCCGGTGTTTTCATGGTTGTATTGTATAGACTGTAGATGGCTTATAGGAGTTGCAGCGGTTTGGGAAGGTGGTGGCGGGCTTGTCCCATTAAAAAAATACCCCCTATTAAACCACAAAATCAAAATGTGCAGCTATAATATTTGTGAACTAATAGACATAGTATGTTAATTAAAACCTTTTCAGTTTTTACGTAGCGCAGTAATAACAGAGCTTTCTCTAAGTACTACATTTTCATAATAAATAATTATGAAAAGTCCCTCAGGGTATAACAGTGGGCAAACTGACGCTTACACTTTTATAAAAACTAATCCGTTTATAAATTCTACAATAATAAAGTTTATAATAATAAGCTCTCTGTGAAATAACATGAATAATAGATTGCATCTCCGGTCCGTAAATTCCGTCTGAAATAAAGAGCTATTAATAATAAACGGAATTGTAAGAGTGAATTTAAAAAAATGCATTTGTGGTTCATTGTAAAGCCGCAATAAGCTATTTCCATTCGCTGGCTCCGACAGTGTTTTACTAGGTTGTTAATTTCAATGAGCAGTCGCATTTTTATTTTAATCCTATTACTGCAGTCATGGGAGAATATGTATAGGGTATTTAATCATTTTACATAATTATGTTTGAAACTGTTTTTTTGAGTGAACAAATGGTGCGGTGACCGGGACACTGGCTGCCGCGCAGTGTCTCGCGGGTTCGATTTCCGCACCGGGCTTTGTGTGATCCCCAAATCGTTGTGTCGGGTCTGAGTATCATGTATGTGGGAAATAGCATATTTTAACCGCACCCACGATATAGGAAAAAATACTAATATGTGACAATGCTTTAAAAAATAATCAACAATGGTATAATATAAAATATTTTTTAATTTTCCTTTCCCTAGCGGATAGAATACCAGTAGATAGTAGTGGAATGACAAATGAATTGAATGGGGGAAGCAACGCGAGGGTGGGATGCGGCGCCACGATCCGGGGCTACGGGCCGGGCGGCGCCAGGTCCGGCCATTTCGACTCCCGGGCCGGACCATGGCGCTCCCAGTGTGTCATACATCTACTTGGAGCGCCCACCGACGTCGTCCAAGTATCACTATTTAATTATAATTTAAGGTAAGTATCTGCACAAAGTAGAATTATACTTAAATTAAGTTCTATTGCGAACTGCTCTAGAAGTCAAAGATATTTATGAAAAACTAGCTTCTGCCCGCGACTTCGTACGCGCAATCCCATTTTGCCCCCGTTCCCGTTCGTGATTTTCGGTAAAAAGTAAAAAAAAGTTTTCTATAAAAAGTATACTATGTCCGTCTCCTGGTTCTAAGCTACCTTCCTGCCAATTTTCATCTGAATCGATTGAGGCGTTCTTCAGTTATAAGTAGTGTAACTAACACGACCTTCTTTTATATATATAGATGGATTGATAATTATAGCAAGAATAAATTTGGTCTTGTAGCATCACGCCGTATTCGTCGCACATAATTACAGGACACACTGTCACAAGTATAGGCGTTTCAATGATCGTGGTGTCTTCCTCCTATAAATTTAATAGAGCGGAAGGAATTTCTATGAGTTGAGATTAGAATCCATATATTTTGTAAATGTATTGCGACCTTCCCTCATAGTGACAGGGCACTCGTTAAGGGACTCGAAATAACGGAATTTCATGCGCGCATTCACATGCCACCTTAATTAAATTAAAACCTTATACGTTACAAGAACGAGGCAGTGACTGGTTAAAATGTTAAACAAAGGTATATTTAGTTCCGAACTTATTCATGTTTAACGGTTCACCGATTTAGACTGAATTTCCGCTGTAGTTACCTAACCGGATTCTAGCTAGAAGCGAGTTTACAACGCCGTAGTAAAAGTGCTGACTATATAAATATGACTGTTTTCAATATAATAATTTGATCAGTAGAATATTATTTCATTTCTGATTGTGACATTCTTAGAATGATTTTGCGATTTGTTTACAAAGTCCAAGAATAGATTTTTCTTCAAAACAAGAGAACGTCGCGACGACATCTTGAGCCTCGGCTCTGTTGTAACTGACTGTTTTCCCGCCTACTCCCCGGGGTGCAATTGATTGATAGACCCGTCCTTAGAAATCATAAATTTATTATTCGAGAATTTAATTTCGGATGTTCAATAAATGTTTTTGCTGAGGGTTTTCCTTGTCTGTGTTTCTTACGTAAACGCTTCTAATGAGGATTGTCTTTTCTCTTGTTTGTTTGACAGAACATAATTATGTCTGCTGGCGTGTAGATACTTATGTTACGCTACAGTGTTAATATATTGCTTTTACAATTCTTAAGGTAAATAATTTTGTTGTATCAGGTTACAAAGCTGTCGATCTCATATTGAGATTTTAGAGGGTCTTCACGAATTTGGTGGAAGAGGGGAAAGAGATAGATCCGAGCGTGGGGATCGAGCTCTTCTCAGGGTATGTGGACCAGTCGTGAGGGAGGCCAGGGATCCCGCCGGCCGGTTCCTAATACGTCAGGCTGTGACGTCTAAAGGTGCTAACTTAACAATCCTGGTGCGACGAGCGACTTCACAATCTCAGGATGAAGAAGAATTTGTTGACGGGGCCTTTGCTTTTCATGATGGTGAGTAAACAAAGTAACCAGATACAACTAGAGCGTTGGAAGGAAAATATGAAAAGAAAATATATTTATTTTCGCTTTCACAACAAGACATAAACAATGATATTTGATGACTTATGGAAAGTGAAAAAGAAAGGGACCAGACAAAATAATATTCAAAGGCTAAATCCTACTGGTGCTTACTAAGGGTAATGTGAATGTTTATGTGAAGTGTCTTCTGTGTTATGTATGTGTGACGTACACATGACTGGTGAGAGGAAGAATACATGACGTACGACAAATATATTACTCACTATTCACGCGTACATGAATAAAATTATGTAATTGCAAGCGATTTGTTGCGTTTTCTCAAAAAGTTATTTGTTTTTATTGTGTTTTTCTTGGCGATTTCCCAACTGGGTTAGGTTTGACACAGGATCTTCGGTATTTTTCATAGAGTAACTACTATCCAAATTTCACATACAAGAAACAAAAAAGATATAGCATTCCTGATTTGTAATAAAACAGACTAGTACATTTTTTTTCATACGTGTTAGCTATTATGAGTGACGTGTATTAGAATGTAATAACAAGCTGCCTCACTCAGTAGACTTTATACGAATTTCTTTTATTATTTGGTATAGAGCAACATGAAGGAACTGCATCTCCGGATGCGACATGTGCAGCCACACACTATGGGCTTTCATCGCCAGCTCATGGCGGAGTTTCAGCACCTTCACATCATCACATTTTCTGGAACATCGAAGAACGACTCCTCTGTACACATAGGTTCATACCGGCTGCCAACCAGAGCGTTACTATTGAGGTAAGTAAATACCGTACATTTTCCATTAAAATTTAAGGTTGAAATTGGAGTATGATATATGTAGTATGTGTTGTAACACATACTACATATAGTAGTAGGCAAAGTAATAGAGGTTCAACTAATTGAAAAATGAATAAAATTTTCTGAAGCTTGGTAAAAAGTCCTTTTTGGATGAAATATAAAAATAGAAATAACAGTTTTTTTCTATGGGACTAATACACGAAATTTCTCTCTTATAAAAAAATTAAAACTTATTTGTGAGCGAATGCTCTCCACCGACTTGTGGTTAGGCATTTTAGTATTATTTGAAAGTACACAAAACTTTACATTTTTTTATTAGTTTCACAATAATGCTAACAAAGCTTTTGTTATGTTAGCTGCTAATTTGTTTCTGCAATGAGATGTGACTTTTGTAGCGATGTTTTCTCCTCTGTCCTTGCTTTGTGGTGTTGACATTTCCTTTTAAATGCAAACGTTATTGTTCCATTTGTCCCGTTCTATTAAAATAAATTGGTCTCTCTTAACATTGCCAGCGTCGCAAAATAAAAAGGCAATTCATGAAAACAATATCTAATAGTTCTTTTATAAAGGAATTGAAAAAAAGTTTTAGGTAATTTGACAGGTATTTTTTTTAATATTTTGGTAATTTTATTGTGGATGACATTGTCCATGTTGAGTTTTATTTGTTTTGTTGTTTTTTGACACTTTATTAACCTTCCAGGAAAACAAAAACTGTGTACTAGATATTTCTTCAAAGGTATTGTTTTGGATATTCACTTACTGGTAGTACCTACTATAGTTGTGTTTTTCTTAGATCCAACGTCTGGAGCGTATGTGGAGTGCAGAGCCGACGGGCACGGCAGGTGCTGGGGGGTGTCGCACGGCGTGCGGTGACGCCGGCTGCGAGTGTCGGTCCAACACTCCACTCTACTACCACGACCATGTTGCCCTGGTAGCTGGCGACGGCACACATCTATCTTGCCTCTGTGGAGACTTCCAGGTTACATTCATTTTCATATTAAAAAATATCATTAAAATCTCATGGCCACAACATAAAATCACATAAAAAGTTGTAATCGGTCACGGCTCACCCATAAGTATTCCAATTTTCCAGATGAAGAATACTAAAAATACTTGAAATACTCAACTCAATACCTGTTCCACTTGGAATACAAGATGAGGTGATTTAAAACAAGAACCTATAACTTTATGACGTAGCGCCCCTTATTTGCAATTCAAAAAATAACAGTGCTCGACGTGACAGTCATTGGAATTGACGTTCATTACAGTTATCTGAGCGAATGAAATATACGGAACCATCGACAAGAAAATTGACGTTAATTGCTTGAAATATTAAGGGAAACATTGGGGGTAATCGACAACGAAAATCAAGGGACCGATACATAATACAGAGTAATGTTGTTACCCAACGAACGTGACATTTTTTTGTCTTTTATATTTCAATTTTAAGTAGAATAAACATGGGATCTCAAGCAAACAGCAGCCAAAATGCATGATCTAATTATTGCGAGCTCTGAATATACGACAACAAATAAATTAATCGTGTTAGTGGAGCCTTATGCTAACACGAGCGAGGACAAGCAACCCTTCCGCCGCGACGCCGCGCGCTCCCGCCTCCGCACCCGCGCCCGCGCCCGGCTGTGGTGCGAGCCGCATAATTAAGTAAGAGGGTTACTATTAAGTATGTAACAGCAATAAAGCGTAGAACGACCACCCGAGCGTGTGGGCCCTCCTACACAACGTTTAATAATGTAGTTGCCATGTTTACAACTCTTTCATCACAGGTAAACAAGCTTTCTTTCAAGATGACCTCAAATATTTGTTTAAGTCCTATCTATTCATCGAAATTAAGATAAGCAAATCCTAAACAATAAATAGACGCCGTTTTATTTGTCAATAAGCAAAAATGAATGTTGCGTAAACAGAATCGAAGCAATCAAATATTGTGTCAAGTAATATTTATTCAAAACAGATTGTTTTAGCAATATACGAATGGAAATTGTTTAGATGGTATCGCGTATTGTTATTTAACGAAGTAAGGTGGTTTGTTTCCGGTGTATTTATGTTCAATTTATATTGATGTGTTTACCTTGGAGCGAGCGGGTAACAAAACGAAGAGATATAATCTGATGCTTTGTAACTTTACATCACGAATCGCGCGCTTAATTTAATTATTAACAGTGCTTTACCCCTGTCGTGGCTTGACGCCATCCGCGCCAAATTGTTACGACCTCACATTGTTCCAAAATGGACTCTGGGCCGTATCTGACCGGGTGGCGGCGCGGCCGTCCATGTCCCGGTACTCATAAAACATGGGCTAACTGGCGGCATGTCATCCGTCCGCCCCTGTTATTAGTGGCCAGCCGACGACGCGGCTCGGGGCGACAGCTCAGAGACTCGCCCCTGAAAATTCAATTACTTAGTAGCGGCCTACGTATGGCTATTGCGTAGGGTTGGCGTACATCGCTGCACGCTCAATTTGTCAATATGCTGTACACGTACGTACGTACGGTTATGATAACCGAGAGTATCGGATTCGAAACCAGCTTTTACGTTCTTGTCGCCGATAAAAATAAAGAAATACACTCTGAAGGGTTACGAGTGAATATTATGTAAGTGTTTATCACAAAAAGTAACGTTTTACTATTTGTATTTAATTTTGTATATGATTTTAGTTTTCCTCATTGTAGCTTCAGCGGTTAACATACATTTTAATTTATAGAGATAATTGTTGTTTGTCACAGGCGGCGTGGTTACCGGTCGTGGTGCGGAGTTGGACGAGTGTTCGGTTGGAGTATTCCGTGGCACATTACACATATGCAAGCCGCGGTTTTGATTACGCGGCCGCATATAGTTTCAACGATGATGCCATGTGCGGTCAACGCACGTACACCACTCACTCCGGTAAGCGTTGTGTCATCATGCATCTACCCTGGAAACAATACTGTTATTAGGGACATTAAGAAAAATGACTTTGCTATAATTCGATAGAGATATCACAACCAAGGGGCAAATAATCGGCAATTTATCCCCAATGAACTCCATAGACCCCCAATCACATAAAGCGAAAACAAACAGTTCTATTTGACATTCGAAGCGCGTCTCAGACGTTTGGAAAAACGCGTCGAATATTGTTCTCGGTGGCGCGGCGGGGCGCGTCCGAGAAAATTACGTGCCACGACCCAGTTTCACGCCGCCTAGGGTAACACTGAATCGGAAAAACCTTGAACAAGATCGTAAAGTTCCAATTACAACGTCGCTATTGCGGCGACTCGTCGTGCTGCCTTAACGTCGCATTATTGCCCACGTAGGTAGATGTTTCACTGTCACCTTTTCAATTTATTATTTTTTTTGAAGGACTTAATTTTTCCCTCTGTAGGTGAAATATCGTCCAGGAACGTGTCGGTTACGGGTAGTCTGAACGAGTTTTTCTATCAACAATGCACTTGGGTATTAGACTCCAACGTAGAGCGGCAGTTGTTCATTGACATCACGTCTGAACAGGTAAGCCACGATAAAAAGCTGTTGTGTTTTATTTCTCTTTTACTCATCTTCTCGACTTCAATTTATTCTTGTAGATTTTATAGTGGCGCAAACTCAATTCATTTTGCAGATAAAATTATTTTATTCACATAACAGGATTGCTTTGTACATTTCAGTTGAAGACTGATAAATGGGTCTGACATACAATACAGTAAGATTAAGTGTCTGTTGCTGTCCAAAATTATCTCGTCCTCCTATTCGTAGCATATATATTTGATATCATGATAATATTATCCCCAAATAGTGAAACAAATAAATTATTTTCTGTAGGTAAGTAAGTCTAAGTGTCTGCTGTCATTTTGAGCAATATGTGATACAACAATATTGTGGTAGGACAAGTCGTGCGGGTCGTGGAACATCACGTTGCACGAGTGGTCGGGGCCGGGCGGTGGTACGCAGGACTCGGGACTGGCCGCTGCCGCTGGGGACCTTTTGTACACATTCTGTGCCAGGCACAAGAATCACACGTACACCCTACCCTGGCGGCTCAACACTGTCGTCATTAGGTATGTATTCTTTTCACATATTACGTACATGGTAAGATGTGAGAATTTTTGATATCTTTTACGATACACAACAAACTCGAACAATTCTTACAAATCGGTGAGGATTACTGTATTTCTTACCCGATTCATATTCGGTAAGCGTGTACGGCCCGCGTTGTTAGTTCGCTTAGAAGTCAAAAGAAATCTTCCGCCGAGCTTTTAGCGCGATCTAAACAATTTCCAAAAGAAAGAAAACGCCACGATAAATTATTTATGAATGGCCGTCGGCTTTAATACACCAACCAACGTGCCAAATACGTAAGAGCGCATGCTTTTATTTAGCTACTTTCTCGGTACAAAGATCTTTTTTCTTTGTGCATATTAGAGGAAGCAGTAAGAGGGTACGTGGCGTGCTTCCGAAATGACATTTCCACTCGTAAATCCTGAATAACGATGTGTGAAAACATACCTTTGTCGATGAATCGACAGGTCGACGCAAAACGTTCTTTTCGGTGGACGCAGGTGGGATTGTAAATAAAGTTTTTAAGCGCTCTTCGCAGCCTTTCGTGTGAACGGTTTGGTTTTCGACCACGCTTTTTCCAGGACCTGTGCACTTCGGGTTTTTGATAATAGCCAATAGAAAAACCGAGCTACAGCAAACTCAAAAGCGGGTCACATTGTATTGCCTATTAGTTAAACGCTCGCGGATAGCAGGCTTATGCAAGATTTAAAGTATTTTTAGGAAATGTATTTAAAATGTAATTCGTGGAAAATCCGACAATGTTTGGTCACGTTTTAGAGTTTTATATTTATACAATCAATGCTTAAACAAAAACGAACCTAACCCAACTTATCAAAAAATATGGACAGACTTGAGTATACGTCAAGTTAAACCAAATAATGGGCCAATGATTGAACAGATTCATTTACATACTATATATAATACTAATTGAAGTTCTAACCACTATCCTTTCTTCGTAGGTTAGTAGCATTATCTCGTCAGCAGCCGCTGTACACAATAAGATGGCGGTCCCAAGTGGTGCGTGCTAACACGCGCCTGGGGCCCCCGACACCAGCACCAGCTGCGTCAGCCGCTGCCAATAGCATCATCATCACTAGACTCCTTTTATACCTGCTTTGCTTACCACTTCTAAGACTTTGAAACTACGCTAAGACTTAAGAACTCTGTGGTTCAACTCAGTGTTAAAAACATTCGAAATAGTGACTTGAAAATCAGTGCTTTAGAAGGTGTGTAAAAATCAACAAAGTGAGTACTTTTGGATGTTTTGATTATAAGTGCTGTGCTAGATGAAAGATTTTGAGACTATGTGCGTACATTTCAGAGAATTTTGGACTTGAGACAGCGAATAAAGTGACCATCATCGTCAAAGTTCTTTGTTTTACTGATGTGTAAATGTAAACGAGACGTGATAAAGTATCACTTTTTTATGTGTTTGAAAGAAACTTTTTTCTGTGTGTGAACAGACCTTTAATTCTTATTATTGTACTCATGTATTAACAGTTCTATAATATACTTACTAATCGAAATATTTTTTGTAAGAAAATCCCTCTGACACAGCTATTGGCTTTGTGCTGAATAATTACATTTAGTTTATATTTAAATTTTTAGTATTTTTTAACAATTAATATTATTTTTAATTATTATTATTTAAACGACGAATGTGTGAGCTCTAATACGTCAATAGGAATGATATACGAAATAAATTATTTGATTTTAACGTCTTGCTTGGTCCATTATGATAACAACACATTATTTTAAATGAAGTAGCACCGCTCTCGAATAATTATGTCATTATTATTACTATATTAGATCCGTCTACACATAATATAAAAATATCAGTTAATTGGAATCTATAGAACTTTACTATCAAAGAGTTTTAACGTTTGATACCTAGTTTTGTTTAGTTTCGAAGATTGGAATGTTTTGAAATCAGGAACGTACGTTGCACTACATATAGTTCTAAGTATAATTATATTTTAAAGAAAAATACACACAAACAAATAAATCAATAAATCGAAATCACTATGAGATATTATTATAGTTTACTGGGTGCTACTTTCAGTAAATAGTACCTAAAGATAATGCAAAAAGTGGTTACTTTTAAAGGTAATATGATTTTCGTCGGTAAATTGTTGATTATGTGTCTTTACGATTCATGTTATGGCCGAAGGGAGAATAAAGAGAAATAATGTTATAAATAATGTTTATCTAGCCTTGGACTCTAAGACACAGAGATAGCCCCGTGAGTTCCATCAAATGTCTAGGCAGTTAGTATATATAAGAAAAATACATTTATAATGCGACGAGACGGGACCCCAAACAACATTTCAAGGTTTTAATCTATTTTGTTTGCAGCATAAATACTTAATTTAAAAGGTCGTATGTATGTAATGAATGAAAGCAAAGGAAACCAGTCATTACTAAATTAAAACGTTATAAATAAGAACAGTAGCGAGGGCAATCGAGTGTGTTTTCAATTTAGTTGATTTATCTTTAGTTATAAATCTAACTGCAGGGAGTAGCGCTCTGGTACATGAAAACAAGCACATGAATCAAACGCTGCGTCGAAAATATTCTAACGGTCTAACACAACCTAGTTGGCAATACTTGTTTAATATTTCACTGTTTTTAGCTACCACTGTCAATATAGTTATTTGAAAAAAAAAGTTAACTTTACAATCTACATATAATTTTTTACAATCAAGATAAAACAATGAGAAATCATGCACAACAAAACAAATCTCACACAAAATGGTTTATTTTTCTTTCACTTTTTATTTAATCTTTTTGTATTTATGGTAAAATTTAACTATTTTGTTATTTGATTAAAAAATAAACTAAAGAAAAGAAAATCTTACAAAATGTATCAATGATATCTGGGCTGTTTAACGAGCCTAACAACGATAAAATCTTTCTCGATACCATCTCGAGTTTTTCAGCGATATCTAGCTTCATTGGCGAAACAATAGAATTGTAACAAGTCATGGATATCACTCCAATTTCATACCAAAAGATATTCGTATCGATAGCGAAGCTGTGTCGATATCGATAGTCTGCTAGGGATGTAAACAATGTGCGATAAAATATTATGTAAATATTGAATGTATAAGCTTAAACGAATCCCTTAGTATAGTATAAAGAACCTCCGAAGACTTTTTGGATAAGTAGGAAAAATAATGTCGCTTCAATAAATTGTGCTTTTTGACGCTGTTCTGTTATTTATAAATTATATTTTTCTGTTGTTGTAAATGTAATATTAAAGTGTATAAATGGCTGACTAAATAAATAACTGTCTTACTGTCAATTATAAATTCGTAGAATAATAAATCTGAAATTGTTTTTTCTACATCTCGCTGTTTACTACTTCTCTGCAAAAAAAAAATAGTTTGTATGTATAAGTCTCGATCTATATTTATTTTATGCAAACACTCTGCTGTATTTCATAATTTTATGTGCAAATAGATTTTCGCTGAACAATGAAATAAAAATCACCGAGCAAAATAAAATAGCTCCGCAAAGCAATTGAATCGTTTGAAATCAATTCGAACAAAATAATAAATGCACGAAAAAAATATTTTAATTACTATCACACGCAATTCGAATAACAAAAATATAAATTTTAATCATCTACTCCTGCAGCACTTCACGGGGATTGAATTTGCAAAATATTACGTACATCAAACACAAATCTCACGGTTCGAATTTAGAGGTTTGTTGGAATAGAAACACAATTGAAACAGAATAGGAAATGTTTTTGCACGATCGCGATGTGTTATTTGTTTTAGATATCGCAATAGATGAGAAAAGTTTTATTACGCAGTAGATAGAACACGGAGAACTATTTCACTGACTAATGTTGTACTCGAACTCGTGAATATATTTACCACGAATATCCCATTTCATTTCTCTGATACATAAAGATTGGAACGCGTGGGAACGCCATAAATGTAACTGTGGTTTGGATATGTCTCACAATATTTGTTTCTCTATTCATTGAACTATAGTTGTTTAATTTTTCATATCAATTGTAGAAGCAACTTCGCAAGCCATTGTTCGGTAACAGCTTTATCAATACGTTTAAATAAGTTCACGTTGATCTGTAGCAAATTTTGTGTAATATTAAAAATTATCAATTATGTAACTAGATTATAATAATAGATTAGATGTAAATAGATCGGACAAAGTTGGCATTATCTCTTCTTCGTAAAACTGACGATAACCCAAACTTTGTCCTCTAGAGATTAAAAGCTAACTTTAATAGGTAGGTAGATGATTCTACGCATAAAATAATGAATAATGTTTGTTACACTGAAATAGATAAAATGAAAGCAATTTGTGTATTATTTTTTATCCTTCAAACTACCCCAACAATCAGAAAAGGTACTTATATAGAAATGTTAGACTAATTCACATGTCACTTACATGATTTTCACTTACATTTCGATAGCAGTAAAACCACTTATGGTCACTTTTGCGGACAAAAACCTGATGCATCCTACCCTAGCCCTCTCATATAAAGTGGAACTGCCCGAGCCATGCAACTGTCATGAACGAGCGTCGTAATATAGATGGCTTTAAGAGCTCTCACAACTAAATAACTTGACTGTTGTCTGTAATATACACGAAGATAGATAGGAGGGAATCTAAATACTATTACTGGCTCCTTGGGCCCCTTGGGGAATAATTTACTAATCTAGGCTTTAAAATGATTAGCTAGCCTACGTCCACAAATGAACAAAAACGTTCCTCCATAGTTTTACGATCGTTCCCCACCCTTTCCATGTGACTTTGCGATGCGACTGGTTGATGGCAGTGACAATCAAGACCATGATCCAAAAACGAATATAATTAAATACCTTTTACCCTGAAATACCTTTTCAATGAAATGTTTTCATAGAACAATCAGAAACTTTCTTTAAAAATTAAAACCGAGTACTATCAAATATTAATTAATATTTCTAAGTACTTACTTAGTTTCTTATAAATTGCTGAACACTTTCCTAGAAGACCAATGCCGTGCGATTGATGTTTTAATTAAAAAGCGAAGCAGTAGTGATGCCTTATATTTGTACGTAGTGGTAACAGTGCTGTAGAGAGCTGTGCCAAGAACTGATTACACGCCGTCTTTTACGTTTGATCCGAGCCACTAGAGTTAACAAAATTATAGGAGCAAACATTGAAGGAAGCATGGAAGGCTTTATCAGTTCGATCGTGCCTCAGTTTAAACTTTCCATTTGGAATGTTCGCCTCTGCCTTTCTTTAAACTTCCCCTCTCGCCTTTGAGGTTTCTAAGATGGAAACTTCTTTTTAAGATAGGTTCCGAACTAGTACTTTTATTTTTCTCTTTACTCGCCATTACGGTACTAGTGTTTGCTGTGTCGAAGGATTTTACAGTCGGGCTTATATGTACGAATTCAATGTCTCGTTAGTTGCTATAAAATGATATTTAGTTTTTTTTATAACATAACATCATGCCATTTATCCCCGAAGGGGTAGGGCATGATGGTATTGTGCTCCTCTTGCGCCGTGCGCCACTTTGCAATGTAACATCCACTTTTCACTATTTATGTTATGAGTCTCATTCAATGGGGGTGAACCTATTGCCATATACCGGGCACAATTCCAGACTCCGTGCTAATACTGAGAATTTTTTTAAAACCCAGTAATACTTTGCTTGACTCTGGTATCGAATGCGAGACCCCTTGCCTTGCAGTCGCACCACTCGGCCAACGAGGCGGCGAGTTTTTTTATACTCTTGGAAAATACTACTAAGGCTGTTCTGGAGAACACAAGATTACCATTATTGCTCATATAATATCAAATAAACTGTTTTGATTGCAGCCAAACTCAAGTCTGCCAAAGTACGGTAAACTAATTTAAATTCTAAAGTTATAGAAAAGACTTCTTTTAATAATAGAAGACATAAAAGATCTGTTGCACGAAGATTATTCGCCGAAGATTTGTTCTTAAACTAAGTTTAATATGAAGTCAGTTGAGTTGAAGAAAGATGGATTCACAGTCGGTTGCTAACTTAGCAGCTTTTGATTCGCTAGCACTGCGCCAATCGTAAAGTTGTGTACCCTGAAAAAGGCCGTTGGCAAAGTCTTCCGTAAGATGAAGTTCCTCGCATCCAGCCGTCTTTGTGCTTCACTCAAAGGAAACGCAATTTAAACTACATGCGGGCACACCAGCCAGATATTCATTCCCTTAACCCCCAACTCTTTCTGAACACAATTTGCAAGTTTTATTTAAGGCTGCCGAGCGTGGGATATCATGGACCCACATCAGACGTACTATAATAACAATTAAACAAATTGGAATTAAGTTGAAGTTGCAGCGAACAGTGCAGTTCGTTAAAACTATATAATTGGAGTCCGGAGAGTATAAATAGGAGGAGCTCTAATGGCGCCCGCTGGTAAGGATTAGCAGACATGTTGTTTCCCCGCCACGAGTTGGCATCCTCAGAGACTAGTGCAAACCTTAGTTATTCGGTACAGTTAAATGTGTTGGTAAACATTATAATATACTAGCTGTTGCCCGCGACTTCGTCCGCGTAGAATAATGA